CAGTTGGCTTGTTAGCTCAATTGGTAGAGCGCTGCACTAGTATCGCAGAGGTCAGTGGTTCGAATCCCGTACAGGCCTGATTTTTTTCAGGTCTGATTTTCGCTATTGCCTAAATAGCGCTATCTACTGCGAGGATCGTCCATCATACGTATCTAATACCGCAGTTCAAAAATATATGAACTTCATATATTCATTGTATCTCATTTATTACTTTCACGGGTTTATTACGAATCAACTTAACGGCCTGCTCTCAGTTGGCTTGTTAGCTCAATTGGTAGAGCGCTGCACTAGTATCGCAGAGGTCAGTGGTTCGAATCCCGTACAGGCCTGATTTTTTTCAGGTCTGATTTTCGCTATTGCCTAAATAGCGCTATCTACTGCGAGGATCGTCCATCATACGTATCTAATACCGCAGTTCAAAAATATATGAACTTCATATATTCATTGTATCTCATTATTATTATCTGACACTGACATTACATAGGAAAGTGCGCAAGCCAGAATTTAAGTAGTCAATTTTTTATTATGTAACTTAGTTTATTGAATTTTTATAATTTTTTTTTTTGAGAACTGCTTTTTGTGAAATATTTTTAAGGAAAATTCTATTATTATTATTAAGTTAATACCGAAGAGATTCAAGACTTTTCTCTCAGCTAGAGACTTTTTAAACTTGTTTTAATATTTTTACTGATTTTGTGAAATAAAAATTATTATAAAAAAATTATTATTATTATTATTATTATTATTATTATATTCTTGTAGGATTTCTCGTTGGAGTTCTTCTTCAGGCAAGGATGGCATGACCCTAATTTGGCTTATGAAGAAAAACAAGCAAGCGGAAAGAAGTTCATTGTCTTTAAGGTCGACCTAGTAAGAGACTTGTGGACTCCTGACACGTATATTTATGGTATCAGGTCTATACAGACCGTGCAGACTGATAGCGCGGTCCCGGCAAGCGAGGGTCTTCGTATATCACCTAACGGTGATGTGCTCTTCAGTACAAGGTATTTCAATAACCCAGTTGGCGAGTTATGATCCAAACTGACAATTTTGACTAAAGTTGGAGAGAATGAAATAGGAAGAGAGACGCGAAAAATTCATTTTTGTTCTGACTAACTTCAAATTTAAACTTTCAAACAACTTCGTGAAAACTTTGTTATCTCAACTTAGTGAAATAAGTGCCTCTTTTCGATAATCCTGTCATACGAAGTTGATCAGCCTCGTTGATTGGTGTAACCCATGTTAATCTTTATCCTCTTCCTAAGAATTTGTTTAATTTTTTTACCGCTGTTATTTTTTTTCTCTATTAAAGTAATCGATTACATCTCCGCTGCTGTTGCATTGCAGGCTCAGTATGACAGTGTCTTGTTCAATGAACTTTCACGATTTCCCCATGGATAAACAAAAATGCTTCTTAAACATCACCAGTTGTAAGTGATTTTTAGTTATATTTCTTAGACAACAATCTACAATCTATTTCTTAGACAACAATCTACAATCTACAATCTTCTACTGACAACAATCATTCACTTGACTCTGATGATGACTTCCGCACAGGTTGTCGAAACGTCAGTCACTGCCACCGACAACAGTCCTTCTCAGGACTACACTCACCCGGACGATCAGACTACACCTTCATATATTTCTTAGAATCGCCAATTTTGTAAGAAAAAGTAATTCAATTTGGTTGCAAATGCGGTTTACGATGGGCGAAGAACGGTCTAAATGTAGGAAGTTTTTATGATGGCAACCTAGGAGGCTTCGATGATGTAGAAAATTTGGCCGTTTAGCATTCTGAGAGAGTTCGAGGGAAATGAATTGGTAAGGGATTCCTCGTTGAAAGCAATTAGGAGCGTTGGAAGGAAAACCAAACTTCCTCAATTTCAGACGTGGACAACAGTTGGACATCTCTAAACAAAAATCAATTTCTTTGACGCCGTAACACCCTCCCCTACCCACACCCCTCCCCCCACGGCTCCCATAGGCATAACATAAGTTAAGAGACTATTTCATGTAATGTCGCAATCTTATTGATCAATTTTTCGTTGTTGATAAGAGTACAGCCAACGCTGTTTGTATCAACGTCCCACGCAAAGTGTCACGTACTCAAAAGATCGTTTCATTTGAATTCAATATTGTGGTAAAGAACATATCGACATTGATTTAGCGTAGTCTGTACTCTTACCGACAACGGGCAACATTTTTACCACTGTGGTGACGAATATATTGTTGTTGATAAGAGTACAGACCACACTTAAACACTATCGACTTGGTTTATCACGGCCTTACTCCTCTCGAGTTAATTTAATCAATGATTTGCAGTTTTCTTTATACTAATGTAGTAACAATTATCAGTGCCAGCTAACAGTTAAGTACTTCTGGTTTAACGAGACAGTTTTCTACACCGATGAAGACCTTCATTACGAATGGGGCGAGTTGACAGTTCTGGACAAAGACATTGCACATTTTGTTCTTGTGTCATTCGAGAAGAAGAAAACTGTACAAGAATTTACATCAGGTAACAAGATGTTTGTCACGGGTCTAAACTGACTTCTTCTATAAACAGCCTCTAGTATTAAGAACAACGTAACAAAAACCATCAGGTATTGATGGTTGAATTTTTTAATTTTTTCCAATGAGATTTTCTCTTGTGTTTTCTTGAAGGCAGATACGGGTTACTTTCAGTAGCATTTGAGTTCAATCGGCGCATCAACTTCTACCTATTAAGCTGGTACCTTCCGGCCACACTGATAGTGGCTCTTTCCTGGGTCGGTTTTTGGATCGATACCAAGTCGACACCCGCTCGAATCTCGCTCGGTACAATCACGATTTTGGCAATGGGCAGTTTTCTGATTGGCGAGCAGGAGGGGTTTCCAAGCGTCTCCTACGTACGGGCAATTGACATCTATCTAATCACGTGCTTTGTGTTCGTGTTCGGCTGTATGGTGGAATACCCCTTCGTTCACTACGCAAAAAGAATGGCGGAAAAAATGCAAGAGGACAAGAAGGATGACTCGGAGGTAAAGAAGCTGTCATTAGTTTATTCATATTTTGTTATCATATCAATATGATCAGGCAATTCCGGGATTTTGATTGGCTCAGCTACTATAGTATGTAAGCTATCGAACCATGCAAAGCCATCGACGCTTTTCTATCACAATCCCATCCCTTAAATACGCAAAGTAAAGTTTTCAACGTGAGAACCTTGGAGACCGGAATAAAACCTTATTGATTTTTTTCAGTGTCTCACTGGAACTTGATTTTTTTGTTGTTGTTGTTAATATCAAGTGGTTCTTCAATCGAAATGGAAAGGTTGAACTCAGTCTGAATCTTATCATCATTCTACGTTTGGCTTTTACCTTTTGATAGATAGAGAATTCATATCATTTAAATCATCACAACCAGAGCGAAACAATGGCAAACGGTGTCGTAAATGGCGGATTCCTGGATACTTTTGCTCCAACAAATTCACAAGACATTCTCCAATGGACCAACCTACACTTATCAACTAGCGAGCCTCCAGAGAAAAACAAAACAAAGGAGAAAACGCCAAGTGGACGTCAGCCGCAAAAATACTGCTACAGAATGCGGTTCGTATTTTATTGGGCAGCGAAACTTGACGAGGTTTGTCGCTTGGCTTTTCCACTGTCTTTCATAATGCTGAGTATAGCGTATTGGGTAGTATTCTTAAATCGCTGAAGTCAGGCTCAGTTCGAATTTCACAAAGACTTTATAACATCACTGAAGTGCGAAGCCTCGCTAACATTGATGTTGTAACTTGCTGATGTCTATGGGAGACATGCTTTACAGATCAGAACCCTTAAGTCTTCTTTCGCCATCTTTGAAGTAAAGGACTGTGTTCCTGTATGTATAGCGGATACATGAAGCCTCCATCATATCACCTGAACATAATAAACTTCGCCGAAAAATTTATTTTGAAAAAACAAAACAAAACAAAAAGCCAAACGAGTCCCTGAATCCAAATTAGCGAACTCCAGAAGCGTAGATCGATTGGCCAAAATGCATTCCATAAAACGATCATCATTTCTACGTTTTAAGTAAAAGAGACTAAATAATTTAGTGAACAGAGTAGATGAGACTGTCCCAATTTCTACTGAAAAACTACCTGAGCCCAAATGTGTTTGCTCCTAGGCCATATGCAACGAGTCACCTATAATCCGTCATATTCTTCAGAGTATTTCTTTCGTGACGGTGCTGCATGCTCCTTAAAGACTAGTTTGTTTTAAATCGGGGATTACCCAATGTTCCATGCAGGGAGGGTGGGGGAAAAAAGGTGTGTGAAACAATCCCATTACCCATCCCGGGTACGAAACTCGATCTCATGCCTCCTGCTCCAGCGCCCGGCTGATTACTATTTACGGGGAACTGGTGAAGATCGATCAAGCTGTACTTGGAGGGGGCTGGATTCGAGGAGACAGTAATTCCTTCCATTGTGACAGAAATGTCACGAATTCCTTGAAGTGCATTACGCCATATCTTGTAGGGAACCGCCAACTAAAGGTAGCAAAGCCAACAGGCGCACCAGGCTGGATGACAGTCGAAGAAATGGTTGATAGCAGAACAGTTTGTTATCACAAAATTTGCCCCAACAGCTGCTGTCATTTCGAGACATTCTAACGAGTCATAACGTTTAATGCCTTGCGTCTTCCACCAGCGGAGAATCATGGGGTTAAAATCAAACTGTCGAGAAAAGGAATTTTATGACAAAAATTTCGTAGTAATTAAACGTTGAGAATACGCTCGAAATGAACTTTTACCAGTTGCCTCACAACGTAGTCATCCCGTTGACTTTATACCACTTGAAGGAAAGTATACCAGTAACGAAAGGCGATTAGTCGTTGCTAACAGAGTAGGAATCAATAGAAAATTGTTTCTTTTATCATTTTAACCCCTCTCTCCTCTCCTCCACACTTCTTTAGGAACTTGGCTCCTCAGGTCACGGTTGTATGTATGTATATAGCTAACTGCAGACAGTACTGTTTCGGCCTTCTGGGCCTCATCGGGCAGTGCTATATATACATATTCAGGCAAGAGAAAATAATGAGACATCAGGTTTTCTCTTGATTCAGGGAAACTACCTGGGTAGATTTTTAGTACTGGTATTTGCACATAACCACCATGAGTATTTTCAGCGCTAGCCCAGGAAAATATAGTAACGGGAATTGGAAAGGATTTACGATATTCACTTGACAAAACCCGCAGGAAACGCTTCACCTTGGGACAACATCTCGTTACATTTTAGAAAAATACAAAATCACTCAATCTAACCTCTATGGCAAAACTGGCCTTTTCTCGTATCATGTCTTCAGCCATGTTTAGCCCATCCTCCAACGAACGCCTGATGCTGGGATTAGACGTATCCACGCTGACCACAAACTCCGGTCGAATATAACGCTCTTCGTACAGGGATGTTCCGTGTTCGTTCCCCCATCGGGCATACGGATTCCGCCAGGGTGTGTTGTTCGACTGTATCCACCACTCAGGGTCCCGAAAACTGAGGTACTCTCCCCTGTTGTTCAACCTAAATCGTAAAGAGAAAAGAAAGAAACCTCTTTCTTTTGAAACTAAACGACCGATGAAGCTCACTCAGACAAAATTGACCGAGAAGGTTCAAAATCGCCTTTGTTGGAAGATTGCCATTGTCGATGGCCGTTTTGAAGACGATCTGATCGGCAGAAGGGAGAAAACGAGCTCCGAACACAAACCACAAATATCAAATGGTCATTTCTGAGATTTGATCAGTTATTCCCCCTACTTGAGGGCTTTATTTCCTTGCAAATAAATTATGAAAATGTGGTGGTTCACCAGGGTGACACGATCTCACCGACACTAAAGTTCGTATTTCCTTATCAACTGTTCCCGAGACAAAGTATAGTTGTCCCATACAAAATAAAGCTATTTATCATTTCAAGGAATTTTCACGGGCTGGACAAGTCCTCGCGACTGGTCTTTGATAAAAGCACTTTTTGCAAATTTGGCATGACGATCTTACCATGATAAAATGGTGTGCACCGATGATCACTCAATCCATTGTACAGAAAGAAGCTACGAATCTAAGATCTACGATACGTACCTTTGCCCGTGTGGAACGTGTTTACCACAAGTAACTAACAGTAAGAGGGGACGGTTGAAAATTTGACTGCGGAAAGCTTCCAGATCGCTTATCGTCTTCACTATATTAGTCTTTGCTGAGTTCGTGAATTCTTCTTTGTCGCTAATGATCGTGACGAGTGAGTTATTGGGAAGGAGAATGCTATCAGCACCTTCTTTGTTCACTTTAAATTCGTTTGGAGGATTACTCTTGAAATCTGAGTATGAAATCAAAACGACTCCAGATGTGTTCTGCATTTCGGAGATATATGATAGTGACATGAAAAGCAAGGTTTCGACCACAGTATTGCGTCTCTCGCGAAACTTGATGTATTTACCCAGACAAGACAAAACTACTGAGGACACGTAATTTTCTCGTGTGGTTCACTAAACAACAGGTTTAATTGAACGCAATATTGATTCACACGTGCACCTGGATAAACAGTGCACACAATCGGAGCATTTTAATAACTGGGAAAAACTATTTTGCCGTCTGCCTTATCTCTCGGGTTGATATTAGTTTCTAAATAGTAAATTTTTTTAATTAACACAACACTTACACCCCACATGATCAAAATTAAAAGAACTACGAATCGTAAATGTAATGTTACCGTCAACGAGCAAGAAATACTTTTTTCTCAATTCGAGGAGATAGATATCGTTAAAACACAATTTGTACAACTGGAGCGTGAATTGTTCAAGACTGTAGTCATTAAAATTCCCAACTGTAATGACATGTGTTCATTTCGTCATCAGTGAGAGAGCTTGTCAATGGTAGAACAACTTACGAAACCACCAAGATAAATCCATGCATCACGAAGAAAGAAGAGAACTGACAGCTCACGAAGGTCGAATCACTCACAACGGCCTTATTAGTTTTAGGAACTAATTTTAACAATTCATAGCAGTTGATGGTGGATACTTCCATCAAAATTAGCTTCATACCTACCACATAAAACTATTTAAGACAGCTTACAAATTAGAAGTTTTCAGATAATTCCGTTTCAGAAAATTTTAAATCCTCAGGGGTGTGGACAAAACCTGGCCTGCCGGCCTAGGCCATGGTCTACCCTGTGGCCTACCCTGTGGCCTGCCCTGTGGCCTACCCTGTGGCCTACCCTATGGCCTACCGGTGGTCAGATTTTTAAAGCATAGCATTGCAGCAAACCTTTCAACGTTGCCCTGGGCACTGTTTTACCAACGACTTTCTTCTGCTGTTTTGGCGGACAAAAAAATATCCGATAAATATCAGTTGTAATGTATGTCTGCCAGTGGACTGGGTTCCACTTTCTGTCAGAAAGCTTAGAGGATGTTTGGGGAGGGTTCGGACGCGAGGTATGTAACAGTACTAAATATTTTCATTTTAACAAGTGCCAAATAATCTAGTGTGGCAAATCCGGCAGTATTCTGAACGTTAATCAAATGTAGCAGCATTGTAAAACAAGATATTACGTTTTCGCATCGCTTGGACCGTCCTTAATGTAATAACGTCTGGTGGTTTGAGCATGAATGTAACTATTTTCACACGTTTTTGAAATAAAGATGTAAGTAAATAAGTTCAGCTGAGAAGGTTTTGGAATTCCATATTTTTTCACTACAACGATAAGTAGTATGTGTGTTTTATCTTTCTGAAACAATGTCATGCAATAATTATATAGTATCCCACATGAACTTCCTGTTGCACAGAGTACAGCTAATACACCACTTGTATTGTTATGCTACCATGCACACTTCATTAGGAAAAGCAAGTAAAGTTTGTGAAATGTTTATGACGGCGATGCCTGCGTGTCCCGGGGTGCTTGTTGCGAATTCAATACTCTACAGCAGTAAAGAGGCAATTAAAAAATTGGCCTGGCTCGTACTGTTTGCGTTTTCTTACCTGAACATTTTGACCCATATAACACCGTTCTTTACATTTTTACACTCGCGCTCCACTATAAGATACCAACTGACAGCCTGGATCGTAAGGCCGCCATTTTGGATATCCTCAGGGCCTAGGACAAAACACTGACCCAGGGTCAACTGACCCCCTCTTAAATTCACTGGAAATCATGAGTTGAAGCTAACGATAACAACCTAAGGATACAAAATTACGATATAATAATACACTCACCTCTTAAATTCCAAAATGGAGGAAGATGGTCAATCTGTTTAATGCCTATAGTCTGGCATCGTCCAAACTCGTTTTACCACAATTGTTAGTTCTCCTACACTCATAAACGAGTGGCAAATGTGTCGAAAGATTGTGTACTGCGTTGTATACGTTTCCACTGCAAAGGACTGTTTTTCTTCAACCAAAGGGTGAGAAACCGGAAGTTTGAAGTGTTTTCAACCTTGATGGTGGGACCTGGAGCTGACAACTTTTGGACCTTTCCTTTGGAACTTTTGGACCTTTCCGGTTTTCTGATAGAGGTTTCATTCTTTTTGTTTATTCTTCTATAGGAGAACTTACAATTGTGGTAAAACGAGTTTGGACTATGGCAGAGTCGTGGTATTAAGCAGATTGACCATCTTCTGCCATTTTGGAATTTAAGAGGTGAGTGTATCATTATATCGTAATTTTGTATCCTTAGGTTGTTATCGTTAGCTTCGATTCATGATTTCAAGTGAATTTAAGAGGGGGTCAGTAAGGGGGGGTCAGTGTTTTGTCCTAGCCCTATCCTCAGCGACCACGCAATATTGGCCCCCTCCTCTCCCCTCCTCCTTAACCTACCATTATGGTTGAGTGCCTAGGTGGGGAGGACAGAGTTAGGATGTTTAGAGGCTGAGTGCTGTAATATTTGCTTTGAGTCGTTCCCTCAGACATTGAAAATCGTGTCAGTGACTTTTTAGTATACCCTTTTAGTGGCATAGAATTGTACGCCAGCATACTCATTCAACTCCTACTAATTTCGCTATTCCATAAATAGCGCCCTCTACTGCGAGGATCGTGCATCATACGTTCCTACTGATTTTTTTTCTATGTTTTTTAAAATCTGACCACCGGTAGGCCACAGGGTAGGCCATAGGGTAGGCCATAGGGTAGGCCATAGGGTAGGCCACAGGGTAGGCCATAGGGTAGGCCATGGCCTAGGCCAGGTTTTGTCCACACCCGATCCTCAGTGACAATTGCCTGCCATCAAATAACATCTCTTCTAGTCCACCCTTAGAGAGGACTCATCAAGTTACCATAGTAATGGTATGGCTTGTCCAAAACACAGTTTTAATTTATTTCAATTTAGGCACAAATTTCTTAAAGTTTGGTTCAAGAATCCTCTGAAATTATAGCAGAATTGTAGATCAGAAAACCTCTCCCAAATAATTAAACTGATTTAAAAGACACATTCCCTGTATTAATAACACAAATTAATATTTACATCAAAGTTTCTTCATTCCTTTCAACCTGCTTCATAACAAATATTTCACACTGCTTTAATTTGCGAAAAAGTAATTCAATTTTAACAGTAATTTTAATGGTAAAACAAAGGTAAAAAGTAAATTCTAGAACTTGGTAAAGATGCCCATGAGTGTCAAGTTCAATTACTTAAGTGTTTGAAAAGCCTCTTGGCTTCCCCTACTCCAATCAAATAAGCCCCATGAACAGTTCCATAAAACTGACAATGTATTGCCTCACTTGCAAATAGAGGCTTCCTTACAACCAGCTGACTCACCAGGGAAGGGTGAGGCCAGAGTATCAAATTTAGTCCCACAGACTGCATTGGATAAACCTCTCCCAAATATTTTAACTGATAAAAGGAACATTTCCTGCATTAATAACACAAATGAATATTTACATCAAAGTTTCTTCATTCCTTTCAACCAAATTCATAACAAATATTTCATACTGCTTTCACCCAAGTATGTTTGCTGGCAGTTTAAGTCACTTAATTTGCTAAAAATTAATTCTAATTTTGGTAAAACAAAGGTAAAAAGTAAACTCTTGAACTTGGTGAAAATAAGCCATCAAGTTCAATTCCTCAAGTATTTCAAAAGCCTCTGGGCCTCCCTTACTCCAGTCAAATAAGCCCCATGAACAGTTCCATAAAACTGACGATGTGTTGCCTCACCTGCAAACATAAGTTGTAAAGGAGGGGCTTCCTTACCATCAGGTGACTCACTAGGGAGGGGTGAGGCCAGAGTATCAAAGTCACTCCCACAGGCTGTGTTGGATAAATATGTATATGAGCCCCTTGTCCAAGGATTTGTTCCCCACTGGGTTTTTTCAACAGTCACAATGGGTGGCAGTGATTCAAGACAAGTACATTCATTAATGGCTGCAAGACACTGCTTTTCAAGTTCTAGAGGAGTGGTCTTTTCAATTTGTGGTGATTCATTGCCTTGGAACCAAACCAGTAGAACATTTGACCCTGGTCGCGTGGTGTACATTGAATGGAGATGACGAGTCCAAGGAAAATTTGCAATTGTTGACTCATGCTTGGTATTTTTCTTGTTACTCCAAATGAGGTGAAGGCTGTACTCATCTGTTGGCCAAAACGGTTTTTCAAATTCAAGAAAAATCTTTCCAACGCATCCAAAACCAAGATTTCTAATTGCATCTATTTTGTCAGACGGCAAAGAAGGGGAAAACAGTGTAGAGTGCATTTCCTTCAGAATGCCAAGGGAGACAGTTATGATCACATGGTCTGCATAAAATGTTTTACTATTAGCACATAGCACTTTGACTGGATGATATCTTTTTTCAGCATCATCATCTGATTCACTTGAAGACCCCCAGTTTATTTGTGTCACCTCTTGATTTAAATGAATACAGCCACTGTTTAGTTGAGCTGCTAAAGCTTCAGTTATTCTGTTGTAACCATCAGGAACTGGACAATACCCTGAACCATCCAGGTAAATATACTCGCCAAAATCCTCAAGATTTAAGTCATTCAGTGAATTACAACCTACTGCATTGCATTCCCTTTCTTCAAAAAATAAAAACAAGTCATGTTTTACAGTTTTCGTTATAGCAGTGTCAGAGGTGCTAGAGTCGAGATAATCTTGAAAACCTTGGGTTAAGTAATTCCCTACTGTTCTTTTATCCTCTGGGATGCCTTTACAAAATTTTTTCACTTTTGAGATATCTTCCGTTTCTGTGATCAACTTTTCAAATACATTCCAAACCTCTTCTAGAGTCTGGTCATCAATTTTCCATCTCAGCTGAGACTGATCAAGTTTTGGTTTTGCTCGACTATCCTCATTAATCCATGTTTTATCAACATCTGATTTTTGAAGTAAATTTAGCTCACAGGCCAAGTCAAAGATGGGATTTCCAATTGTTCCATGAATCCATGAAGCACCAAACTCCACTGTGTTATTTCCAATCTTGCCTGTGTTTATCCGCCCTCCCACTCTGTCACTTGCCTCCAGGACACACACATCTACCAGCCCTGACTCATGTAATTTGTGCGCTGCAGAAAGTCCTGCTATCCCTGCACCAATAACAACTACATTTGCTTTGTATGGCATTTCTGATGGAAAAAAAAAAAACAGAATTGGTTAATTTCGTTCAGAAAGAAAACTTCCATCCAGTGGACCAAATTATCATAAGATTGTCTTAACGGTTCTTCTGTCTTCATCTTTGTTGACATAACAAACACATAAATTGGGTTGGGAGGAAAATTAGCAAGAGGTATCAGTCAATTCTAAACCATAATTTTTGTGCACACTACCATTTTGGGTTGCATGACATTTCACATTGCCACAATTAATCATTAGAATCACATAATTGAATAAAATCTCAAATTCTGATTGGTTAATGAAGTGAGGTATAGTTTCACATCTACGTAATACATAACAGCTATAAGTAATGCTGCTTTCTTTTTTTCTTGTTTTTATTCAATTATGCAATTCAAGGAAAATCTATTCCTTGACTTGTGAATTCCATGTTAACATTGCACTTGAAAACCGATATCACACAAATCGTGAAGCAATATCGGTTTTCACGTGCAATTTAATAAAGAATTCCCTCATCAAATAATGAATTTTAAAATTGTTTTGTTAATGTGAGCTTAGGGACACTGATCGCAAGTCTGTAATTTATATGATAGAGAAAGCAAGCTATTTAGATCCTTTTGTGGACCTAAGCATTGGGCCATTCCATTTAAAATCTGCACCCCCCCTAATGAAGGCTTTCCTGTAACACCCCTCCAGAATTGCCTGAAATTACCCCCTTCAGAATTTTATGTAGCTATCAAGCAAACCAACTGAACCCCCTTCAGAAACTACTCGTGAGAATATCTGTCAAGGGTACTTTATGGCGACCCCTCTCAGAAATATGGTTCAACCCCCCTAAGAAAAAATATAGCATTGACCCCCCTCCCCCTAAGAAATCCCAGGCCTTCGATAGGGGGGGTGCGGATATTCTCTTTCTGCCAGAGAGTGTTTCCGTCGAGCGAATTATAATTTAAATTGGATTGATTGAAGAGTTGTGATATGTAGGTGAGTCAACACTTCAATCTCAAAATTTTACAAACATTTAACTAAAATACCGACTCTGCAGATAATTCTCACGTTCAGTTGATATGTTTAGTAAATTACGTAGTCTTCCTTCAGCTGAAGGCTCTCCTACGATTAATTTCCAAGTTCTTATCAGTCTTTTACACCTGAAATCGTATATATTATGAGTCACCAAACGCTTCTTTACCTTGTTTCTCGCTCTCAAGTAATTTTTCTTGGAAGAAATAGCCCTATTTGTCACGTCTGGGCCAAAGTTGGTATGAGGAAGACTGAAATGATATCAGGTCACGTTAAAATATCACGCTGAAGTCACGCAATGCTGCTATCTCTAGACACAGGTTCCTCTCCTTCAAAAAGCTCGCTCCCAGGAAACGCGCATAAAAAAGGGAATCAGTTTCCAATCTGAAAGAGGGCTAAGATTTTGATCACTGTGGTCTTCTAAAAATCAGGTAAGGTTTTCAAAGAACTGCAAGAACGCATTGCCGTATCTTACCTTTTCCTCTCTGAATGACACAGAGAAAATGAAGGGACTAGATTTCATCTTTCGAGAGCTTTGGCGCTAGATTTTGTGTCAAATGAACCGCTCTTGATACGAACTGATGGAAATCCGCTCGCGCAGATATGACCTCTGTTTAGATAAACTTCCCGTATCTGAGGGCAAACTCATCTATATATTGAGTTAAATATTAATCAGTATCAATGGTTATTAAATGTACCCAGCGAAAAAGGCAAGTAATTCATGGCAGTCTCCATATAGACTCCCTGTTACCCAGTCTCCATATAGACTCCCTGTTACCCATTCTCCCTGTGTACCCTGTGTACCCTGTGTACCCGTGTGTACCCTGTGTACCCTGTGTACCCTGTGTACCCTGTGTACCCATGTGTACCCTGTGTACCCTGTGTACCCTGTGTACCCTGTGTACCCTGTGTACCCTGTGTACCCATGTTACCCCGTGTAA